ATCTGAACACAGTCTACAAAGGTGACTGGAATGGTGTTCTCTTAATGATAATGATAATTTTTTTCTAGGTAGTATATTTGGAACGATTTCTTTAAAAAAGTAATGTTAAGAGATAGTTAAAATGTTTATATTTTTTGAGAATGGGTGATGGTGTGCCTTGCCTAAAAACAAAATTTAAAAAAAAAAAAAAACGAAAAAAAAATGGGAAGGGACTCTTTCAGGACTATGCTCAAAACCTCTTCTGCTGCCTCCTGTCTCTGCCTTGCCCCCAAAGGGATGACCCCCTCCTCACTTGATCCCCCATTGGGACATAACCAGATATCAATCTCAGCCCCTATTACCCACGACACCAATTTCTTTATTGCTCTGTTTAATTCCTCTCTGGGTCCACCGCACCTAGGACTGGTCTGGAGCAAGCACCACATCTGTCTGATAAACTGATGAATGAATCAAAAAAAGGAGAGCCCCTAATAGTGACAAACGTTGCTAGCATTCATTCAGTTACCTGTACACATTTTCTAGGCGTCTACCCTGCTGGCTCCATGCTAGCCCCATGCCAAGTCTGAGTGTGGGGAAGAACCATGAATGAATCCAGGAGCCCATAAACATCCCCCAGTCAAGGTCCCCAAGGGGCTTGCAGTTATCCTCTCTACCCTACCGCCCCTCCGCCCCCCACCGCTGAAGGTAAGCTAAGCCTCTGGAAGAACATTCCAGAGAGGCAGGAATGTTCTTCCTTCCTAGATGGCCCTTCAAACATGCAGATCCCCAAACCCCAGTTCCCAAATCCAGCCTCCCAATGCTGATCTGTGGGGGCTGCTAGTCACCAAAAGAGTGGCCTCTCTCTCAACACAATCCCTAGTTAATAAAACACTACTGGGCCATGGGGACAATGCCCGCTGCAGTCAGAAGCACACCTACTGTGCCCAGCACCCACCTGCAAACAGGCTTCCACCAGAAAGAACAGAAGGAAAGACCTCTTCAAGGGCTGAGCACATGACCCCACAAACAGCAGGGGAGAGTCTGGGTCCTGCCTAAAGCTCCCCTCTTCAAGCAGAGCTTTTCCTTGAAGCATTTTGCATCTATACTACCACTTACCTACATTTGGTTTTATATAAAAGATTTTTAAATTATCTGTTAGTTAAATATCTTAATACCCCTCCCCTCTCCAAGCCATCCCACTCATTTCTAAATACAAGTGAAGCTCCAGAAAGATGAACCATGCCGACCTCTGATGTATGCTGCTTCTGGCACACAGCCCCGCTCTCCTACCCATACAGCAGGCAGACTGGAGTTTATGAAGCCCCAGATTACAGGCACTTTCCCTAAATGACACAGACAAGGATGAAGACAGAGGAGGGAGTGTTGATGGAGGTGGGCGCGACCTTTCCAGGCACTGTTGTTTGCATGCATGCTCACAGGAACAAATGCCTTCCCATGAGCACAGCTGCAAGACAGTTCCTTCAATTCAACCCCCATTTCCTGAGAGGCTTCTGGGTCCCTAGAGCTGAGCTAAGGCCATGGGGCTATGTAAGATCTCCAGTTACAGGTGTAGGAGTCAGGCCCTCAGAAGGGGGCTCATGAAGACAGACCTAAGTGATGAGACAACAGGTTGGGAGGTGAGATGTAAACACCAGGATGCTTATGATCCTGGTTAATTTTTTTCTAATGACAAAAACAGGCATACTCAATGCAAAAAAACTCACTAATCACAGAAAAGTACAAAAGGCTACGAAACAAACTCTATAACAGCTTCCATCTTCAAATTTTCACAAGGAAGAGGAACAAACCAATTCGTAAGACAAAACTCACACAAAAGTGAAAGTCAAGCAACTCGAGATCAATGTGATAAACTCTGAAACAGAATCCCCCTCTGCTGAAATGAGGCACCATGGGAAGTACTGAGTGCCTCGCCCCCGGAGTCGACCAAGCAAAAGCCATATGAACATCCATCGGGAATGCCATGGAAGAGCTTCCAATAATGGGTGGAAGATGGTCTCAAACTCTAAGATCCCCTTCACTTGTGAGAAAGGACCCCAACCCATGCCGCCCAACCTGCTCACCAGCCCTCAGGCCAACTTACCCACAGGCGTGTCCTCACTGATCAGCAGGTATGTGTCAAAGAAGTGATTGGTGAAGAAGGGCAGTCGGTTCACCTGGCCTGGAAGTCAGAAGACAGGAGTGTCAGTCAACTACCCTTATGCCGGCTTCATGCATTCTGCAAGGAGACACAGAGTTGGAGCTGCAGTGGGCACTGAACATGTGTACCGTGCCATAGCCACCCTCTTCGAGGAAAGTAGGGAATAATGCCAGCAGACAGGCAGACTACTGTCAGGTCATATGGTCAGCAAGGCCACCAGCCACATGTGGCTATTGAGCCTTGGTCCATACTGAGATGCGCTGAAGTGTAAAATAGATACCAGATTTCAAAGACTTTATACAAAAAAGTGAGTGTAGAATACCTTATTCATCTTTTATGTTGATTATGTATTGAAATGATAATATTATGGATATATTGGGTTAAGTAAAATATATTATTAAAATCAAATTTCACCTCATATTCTTTTCTAATGCAGCTCCCAGAAAATTTTAAATCACACACGTGGCTTGAATTGTATTTCTGCAATGTGAGTGCAGCAAGGACAGGGCTATCTGCTTTGTTGACCACTACAACCCCAGTGCCCAGGAAAGGGCTTGGCACCTTCAATAAATAATAAAATAATAGTAATAATAATAATAATAATAATAATAATAATAGCCATCTATGGAACCCTTCCCTGTACCAGCCACTTATACCATCTCCATCAATCCTCATGCTACAGCGGGTGCTATCATATCCCAATTTTATTATTGAAGAAAACGAGGCTTAGAGGGGATAAGTAGGAACTTGCCCAAGGTCATGCAGCTAGTAAGCTACAGGCCATATGAGAACTCTGGGCGGTTAAGCCTATACTACTCTGTGACACCTCAGAGTGGGGGCCAGGTCAGGAAGGGGTCAGGGTGATATCCACATGGGCTGAGAAATTTCACACCTAAAAAGAGCTCCCCATACCATGAGTCCCCCATGAAAACTCCCTGAGGCTGGCTTCACCTGTCCTATAAGCCCCCTTCTAGTGGCCTTCTCTAGTGTGACATAGTAAGAAATAGATTTGGTGTTTGTCCCCACTCCTGGTACAGAGTTCCAAAAACCTTTGGGATTTCTGGAGTGATAGGAACATCTTTTGTTATTCATAAGGAGTCCTTTTTGACCGCACCTGAGTTTAAGCCAACGGGGTGACTTAGGGTGAGGTCTCTAGAGAGGTTCAGGATGGGGCTGGTCACTAGAAAGGCCAGGGGAACACATGCAGGTGCTGAGGGGGTGGTGCACCTGGAGAGGGCATGAAAGCTCCTCATCCGCCCTCGCCCCCATGCCTCGCTCTATGCATCTCTTCCCTCTAGGGTTCCTAAGGTATATTCTTTATACTAAACCAGTAATGGTGTTTCCCTAAGTCCTTCGAGTTGTTCTAGCTAAATGAACCTGAGGAAGGGTTTTGGGAACCCCCAATTTATAGCCAGTCGGTCAGAAGCACAGGTGGCCTGGGACTTACAACTGGCCTCTGAAGTGGGTCAGTTTTGTGGGACAGAACCCTTAAACCTGTGGAATCTAACTTCAAGTAGTTAGTGTCAGAATTGAACTGTTGGACACCCAGTTGGTGTCTGGAGATTCTGGGAACTGGTTGCTAGTGTTGGAAAACACCCCAGAAGTAAGCAGGCGAGGGCACTTTTCCCTCAACCCCTGGTTATTCTCACATGGGGCTGACACTGTGCAGCACTTGCCATAAGCAGCTCCTGTTGGGTTGTCTAGGGGCCCTGAATGTGGGCAGGGGTGCAGCCCGCCTTCCCTCATCTCTTCTGACCTGGGGCTTCCTGAGATCTCGAGCCAGACTCAAGAACACTGAGGCCAGCTCCTAGACGGTGTGAAGGCTGGAGTCAAGGGGGCACTTCCCCTCCTGCCCGAAATGCTTACTAGTGGGAACTGGGCAGAACTAATAGCATCTTTTCCTTCTCTCCTTAATTAGGTCAGGCAGCCAGGATGATGGCATTTCTGGTTTCTCAAACTTTCTGGACTCTCACTTCCTGGCCAGGGCTGCTGGTCCTTCTGCCTTCACTTGCCAAATTCCTATTACTTCTTCAAGTTTCATCTTAGATATCTCCTTTTCCAGGAAGCCCTCCCTGACCACCTCAACTATGTGAATACACTCACACATGCCCACCCACCCTCTCCTATCAGGAATTCACAGCCTCTCACATGTACCATAGCCTCAAAAAGAGGCTGGCAGTCAAGGGTCTCATCTTTGTTTGGAACCTACCTCCCTGTGCCTCTTTCCCATGTCACAATTTACTCATGTGTAAAAGAGCAATAATAGGACTTACATCATGCCTGTCCTAAGGATTAAATGAGATTACATACATAAAGCGCTTAGCGTCGTGCCTGGGTACACAGCAAGCACTTGATAAATGGTAGCTATTATTAATATTGGTATTAATAACAGTGCTGACTACTCGGCCAGAGGGGAATGCCTTTTTCCCTGCTGGGGACCTCGGGCTGAGCGGAGACTCAGGGGGCCAAGAATTCAGCGGCAGGCTTGGGATGGTGGAGGAGGGAAATAAGCAGGGAAAGAACTGCCTGCAGCAGCACCGTTCGTTTTTAAATTTCATTTTACAGGACCTGCCAATAATCAGCTGCTGAGAGCTCTGCACGGGCAGCTGGGCAGAACATCAGGGATGTGCATCGCCTGCCACATACCAAGCAGGACCGATGTTGTCAGAACAGGCCTGCCACCCTCAGAGGCCCAGTGGATGGTCTTGGGCAGCCAGTGTGGCACTTGGGGAATGGGAGGGGGCTGACAGGAGGGGGTGTAAAAAGGAGTGTGCTAGGTTACTTGTTTTTTTAAAAACCACTTTTAAGGCATGAAGGATATATTCTCTGGAGACAAAATCACTGCCTTGGGAGCTCTGAAGCCTCCAGTGAAGCAGGAATATGAGTGGATGTACATGCTGACGCCAGGGAGGGAAGCTGGGCAACCCCACATGAGGGGACCCTCACACTCGGTGCCGGGAGACTGCCTCTACGACCCAGCAGGATGCTCACTGGCCAGGCCAGACAAGGATGGGGCAAGGCAGGCCAGCTTAAGCCTTTGCCGCTTACCCTCCCAACAAGTCCACAGGTGAGGAATGAGAAATGCCAGGGAGTGTATTGAGGCCAGAGAACAAAAGAGTAGGAAGTTTCGGAGAGAGAAAATGACAGCCTGACAAAGGAGGTTGACATCTAGGGGTAACTTGTCCCTAAGCCTGACCCATCTCTGGCTACAAGGGATGGGATAAGAAATCAGCAGGGGTAGTGAGTCAGCTAGAAACAAAGTGAGGAGAGGCAGTGTGGTATGGTCTGCGAGACAAGGCAAGGGCTCAGGGTCAGTGGCAGGTGTTGAAAGGACACAGTGGGAAGTTGGTGCTCTTCAGTCCCTAAGGTCAGCCACCGGCTCACCTTGCCTGAAAAACAACATTGGCTGTCTCAGATGGGGACCGGGAAGAGAGGCTGTGCCTAGAATGAGAAAGGGAGGAACCCTCACACATACAGGCAAAGCAGGCTAGCCTACAGGCAGACTGGTTTTGCCATAGAATTGCTGGGTGGCCTCAGGCAGCTTACTTAACTTCTCTGTTTTCTGTGCACCATTTTGCTCCCCTCACAGAAAGATACAGCTGATAATAAAAGAGGTAACACTTATTTAGCACCTAATATGTGCCAGGCATTATTCCAAGTGCCCGAGATACATATTAACTCATCTGATCATTTTGACTGTGGGAAGAGCAAAGTCCTATTGTCCTTCCTATTTTAGAGAGAATGAATTTGAAGCACAGAGAAGCTAAGATTCTTGTCCAAGGGAACCTCTTGGGGAAGTAGGGTGGGAACCCAAGAGTCCTGGGTCTATGCTGCTCCTTCCTGCCCACTTTGGATGCATCTGGAGAGCTCAAGGGGCACTGCCACCTCTACTGAAGAAGGCAGGCAAGCACTTAGCACCTGTTTTATTTTTGCATATGTATTTCTTTTTAATAGGGGGGAGGACATCAGTGTCCAAGGTCACAGAGTGCCTGAGGAAGCCGAGGAAAGTGCCCTGACTGTCACTGTCCAGCAAACCCAGAGGGTCCGAGTTGGTCTCAGATGCTCCCCACTCAGGCCTCCCTGAAGGGAGCATGTATAGGGACAAAAGCCCCCATGGAGGATCAGAGACCTGAATCAAGGCCCAGATGGGCCCTGCTGTGAATGACCTTGGGCCATCTAGTTCTCCAGGCATCAGTTTCTCCTCTGCAAAGTGGGCCGGGAATTGAGAGAGGGTCTGAGAGCCTTTCTGGCTCTGCCCCTGAGAGTCGTTGTGACCATGCCATAATCTTGGGCTCCCTGGATGGGAGTAAGCTCTCCATCACAAGAACATTCCAGCAGAGATCCCTCCAAACATGGAGGCCAGGAGAGGGGAACTTCAAGGGACTCCCAGGCAGCAGGATGCCAGCATCACTCCTACAAGCACAAGGCTGTGACTTCCTCCAGAGGCTCCCCAGGTCCCTGGAGTGGGAGAAAGAGCTGGCCCCGCTCAGGAATGTGTTTGCCTGTGTCGCCAGGCACCCCATGCCCACAGCTCTTCCCTAGGGACACCCTGGCCCCAGGGAACACAGTACCAGCTGTGCCTGCTGTCCTGGCCTTCAGCTCAGACCAAAGCTGCTTTGTTCCTGCTGTCCAGGAGAGGCACACGCCCAGGCCTTTCCTGGTCTCTGCTGTGGGAACTAGAGCTGGTACTGACCGGGCTGCTGCAAGGACCAGGGGAAGGAGGGTTAGTCCTCCCTGCAGAGAGAAAAGGCTCCTCCTCACTGCCACACCTTTGCTCAGGCTGCTCCCTCCTGCAGGGTTCTCTTCTTCCAACTTCCCTACTTAAAACTACCTTTTAGTCTTCAAAGCCCAGATTAAATGTCTCCCTTCTGGCTGGGTGTCTCCTGTCCCTGCAGGTCCAATTAATCTTTCCTTCTGACAGGCTTCTCTGGAGCTATGTTTATCCTTTATTACTATTCTCTTTACCCCGTATCAGAGTAAATTCTAGCTGTGTCTTTCTCGCCTGCTAGATTCGCAACTCCTTAAGAATGAGTCATTTCTTCCACACCCCCAGAGTTGGGCACAGGAGACACACAGTAGGTGCTCAAAAGACAGCTGCAAAACTGAACAGAACTTTGGCCAGTCTTGCATCTGGGAAGAACAATGGGTTCATGACCACAGATGCCTCCTTCCCTTAGAGCTCAAGTATTTCTCAAGGCTCCTCCCACCCCTTCCCAGGGCCCAGGCCCTGGGGATGGGTATTTTCAGCCTTGCAAGTGCTGCAGAAGCAACCAAAGCCCAGAGAGGAAAGTGTGTACCCAGTTACACAGCAAGATGGGGTCTCCAGAGTCCTGTAGCAGCCCCCTCCCAACTCCTGCCCCAGAGTACAAACCCCAATGGCCAGCTGGCCCACACACCCTCCAGCCCCTGACCTCCTAT